TGAATGGCAGTTACATTATTTCTTAATCCCTTGGTCTATATGTTAGTACAAGCATAATAGGAAGCACTTGAGATCATCAGTAATACAGAAGACACAGAAGGCCCCATTATCAGTGCAAACAGGCAAATAGATGATGCTTTGACTACTGCTCTTCTCTCTTGGCTTGAACTCATCACTCTCAGTCAGTCAGGCTCAGCCCAGGTGCCTGCAGTGGCCACTCCAGGCTGGGGTAGCTGCACCTCTGCAAACTGGCTTTGCTGCAGTGTGCAGAGGGAGGATCACAGGAGCTAAAGAAGAGTTAGCATGTGTCTCACAAGAAAGATGCAGCATTGGTCAGCTCCCAGAGCTGGATATCATTGTTACTAGTGGAATGAGTCCTGTGACTGGAGTGCTGGCACCAAGGGCTACAGGCTTCAGGTGGAAGCAGGACAGGTGAGGGGGAGGTGTGACACTGTAGGTAAGGGAGAGGTTTGATTGCACAGCCCTTAGAGTTAGTGATGATGAGGTGAAGAGCCTCTGGGTGAGGACTAGGGAGAAGGAAAACAAAGCAGGTACTGTAGAGGTATTGTTTACTACTGATTACCCAGTTGGGATGTAAGCACCAGTGAGTTATTCTATATGCAATTAGGAGAACTCTCTGGATCAGTAGCCCATGTCCTTATGGGAGATTTCAAGTTCCCAGACATCAACTGGAAATATCGTACTTCTGTGACAAGTCTTGGAAATTCTTGAGGCTTATAGAGAAAACTACTTGTCATTCACACTTAGTAAGCTAACAAGGAAAGATGCCCTCCTATTTGTGAATAGAGAAAGACTCATGAGGGATGTGACAGTAGGTGGCTGTCTTGGCTACAGTGTTCATGAAATGGCTGAGTTTAGGATTTTCACTGTAAAGACAAAAAAGGATGGCAGAGTTGCTTCCCTGGACTTCATGAGAGCAAACTTTATGCTGTTCAGGGTGTTACTTAGCAGAGTGTCCTGGGAATCTGCTTTTAAGGACTTTGGAGTCCCTGTGCTGGCCAGTATTTAAGACTCATCTTTCAGAAGCACAGGAGCAGATAACTGCACCATGCTGTCAGTCAAGCAAGCAGAGCAGAAGACCAGTTTGTCTGAACAGGGAACTCCTTGTGTAGGTCAGGAGGAAAAAGAAACTGTATGACCTCTGGAAGCAAGGTGAGGCTTCTCAGGAAGCTGAGTACAGAGCTGGGGTTCATTTACACAGGGAGAAGACATGTAAGTCCAAAGCTCAATTAGAGTTGAAACTGGCCAGTGTTGTTTCAAACAACAAGAAGGGCTCTTTTTTCAGATAAGGTCTAAAGAAAATATTGGGCTGATACTTGGTGAAGGTGTTGAATACTTGATAGTACTTGGTCAAGGTGACTAACAGGAATGAAGAAAAAGCAGATGCATTCTATGCACTTTTTGTCTCATTCTTTAGTAGACCCACAGATTCCCAGTCCTCTGAGTTGGAGGACCATAAATGTGAGAACAGTGGCTTTCTATTTGTGAACACTGGAATTGTAAGGGACCAGCTGTATCAGCTGAATGTTCATAAGTCCATGGGGCCTCATGGATTCATCCAAGTGTTCTGAAGGAGGCAGTGAATGTTGTGGCAGGACCCCTCTCAATAATCTGTCAAAGACCTTGCAGGTTTAGAGAGGTCCTGCTGATTGGAAGCTTGACAATGTTATTCTAGTCTACAAAAAAAAGGCATGAGGAAAGACCCAGGGAATTACAGACCTGTTAATTTAGCCTCAGTTGCTGGAAATGAAAAGCATTTAAAGAATCATACAGTCATAAGGAACAGTCAATATGGGTTCATAAAAGGGAAGTCCCATTTAACTGATTTGATATCCTTCTATAATAAGGTCACCTGTGTAGTGGATGAAGAGAAAGCAGTGGATACAGTTTTTTCAGGATTTTAGTAGGCTTCTGAGGCTGTACCTCAGCATCTTTCTGGACAGGTTGCTTAGCCATGGAATGAGTGGAGTTGTAATGCACTGTGTGAAGACCTGGAAAAAGGCCAGATCTCAAAGGATTGCAGTGAATGGGGCTACAGCTGGCTGCTGGCTGTTGACAGGTCACCAGTGATGTTCTTTGGGGCTCAGTTTTAGGGCCAGTTCTATCACATATATATACATGTGTGTGTGTGTGTGTGTGTGTATGTGTGTGTGTATATATGCATATATATCAATGATCAGGATGCTGGAGTTGAATGCAGCACTGGCAAGTTTGCTGATCATAACAAAGTGGGAGGTGCTTTTGACTCTCTTGAGGGGGCACAAGATGCCTGGCAGAGGGATGTAGGTACACTGGAGCATTGGCCAATGATTAGCAGGAGGAAATGTAACAATTCAAAATGCTGGATTCTGATCCCCCTGGGATGGGGTAATGCCAGGCACAAGTATGGATGAGGAGAGGAGTGGCTGAAGAGCAGCCCTGCAGAGAGGGATCTGGGGGTGCTGGTGAACAGCAGGGTCAGTGTGAGACACCAGAGAGCAAACCCCATCCTGGGGTGCATCAAACAGAGCATCACCAGTCACTCAAAATTATCCTGCTGTATTCAGTGTTGGTGTGGCCTCATCTGGAGCACTCTGTGCAATTCTGGGCCCCGCCATGGAAGGAGGATGTGAAAGTCCTTGAACACATCCAGAGGAGACAACAAATCTTGTGAAAGGACTGCAAGGAATGTCCTAAGAGGAGCAGCTGAGGACACTGTGCTTTTCTAGTTTGAAGAGAAGGAGGCTGAGGGGTGACCTCATTGCTCTCTGCAGCTTCCTGAGGAGGGGAAACAGAGAGGGAGGCACTGAGCTCTTCTCCCTGGTGTCCACTGACACGATGCAAGGGAGTGGTCCTGTGGGAATGCCCCACAGGACATTCAGACTGGACATTAGGAAGCATTTCTTTGCAGAGAGGGTGGTCAGACTCTGGAAAAGGCTTCCTCGAAAAGTGGTTGATGCCCCAAACCTGTCAGTGTTTAAGAGGCATTTGGACAATGGCCTTAATTGGTCAACCTTGAAGTGGTCAGGCAGTTGGATTAGATACTTGTTGCAGGTCACTTTCAATATAAATATTCTATTCTACTCCATTCCATTTTGTCCAATTCTATTATTTTCTGCTGTGATCTTCTCTGCCTTTACAGTTGCACCCTGAGGCTGTTCATTCAGATCTGCTTTTTCATGTCATAAAATCTAATTTTTTTCCTAGCAAGGAAGGGTGGGGACTGATGCATTTTCTGTTTTCTTAGAGACTGTTTCTCTAGTCCAGAGCAGGCATACAGCGGTAGCACAACACGAAGAGGTTTGAACTAGTTGATTTCTCATTTACCTCTTGGATGAGGTAGCTGCCAGGTGTCTCAGCCCAACATCTTCTGCAATGCCTAGCCCCATTAACCAGCTCAACATAACAAATGAGGGATCATTCTGCAGCCATCCCTAAATTTTTTAGTGGGCTGGTGTGTTTTTTCTGTAAGTTGATACTAGCTCACTGACGTGACAGGCAGTATTAATAAAGCCTTAGTCACAGAGCTGGAAAGAATGCTTTTTACACACAGGACCAAGAGCTGCCTGGATCCTTCTTTGTTTGAGCAAGCAGCCAGAAAGTTTGAGGAAATAATGAGAAAAAGGAGATGTACTTGTCAATACAATTTCATGATTGAGTGTAGATGTTGGTGAGAGATGAGACATCTTACTGCTTTTTGCCAAAAGTTATAGAATCACAGTGCAGTGTTTCCACGTTTTGCTGCACGATTTCCTAATGATAATGTGTTCATAAACAGCAAAGCAATATAGCTCAGCAATGCACTGTCAAGACAGAACACTAATAATTATGTGGCTTCTTTGGAATGAGATAACCTTGAAATCCAGTAATTAAGTAACAATGTGTGTCTTGGTTTAACTCTGTGTCTTGGTTTAATTCAGTGTCATTTTTAAGTGCAAAAATTGTCCCCATGTTTGTGTTCCAAAAATCAGTATTTACTGTTTGTTAGATAGAATTTTGAAACAGAAAAGCTGTAGTGGAGGCCTGTGAACTGCTCAGAATCTTTGCTGAGTATAACACACCCTGCCTGAACCTGCAATTTGTGGGTATTGGTTCCTACTTTGTACAGCCATTCTGCATATGGACATGCATACAGCATATGGTGAGACTTATTAGAAAACTTTTTGTTCAAGTAAACCACTACAAGTCCCATCAGCCCAGGTCTGCCCTGTCTGCAACAAAGATCTGTTGCTACAGGCCTTGGCATTAGTTCAGGAGACGTTTCCAGTCAGGATTCATTTTTGACAGAGATGAATGAGGACTTTGGTGAGATAACTCAAAAAGAGATTGCCCTATATAATTTGGCTGAGCATTAGGCTTTGAGAAATGAATGATTGCATTTAGAATTGCCTTTCACATGAATAGCTGGAGAAGATCTGTCCAGCTGTCTATATGAGAGATTTATTTTCTGGGGTAAAAGTGGAGTGAACTACTTTCTCCATTCAGTGAAAGTTTTGGGTTGAGTAGTCACCTTCTTTTGAAGGAGAAGAATATTCCTGATGATAAAAAGAGTACATAGAAATAAGAGTGCATTTTGGAAATTGAATAGTATCTTCTTCTCCAGAGATCCATAACCACTACCAAAAGGGTACCAATTTAAAAGCAAGTTTTTGAGGGGAAAAGGTTACTTTTATCAGAGAAGATACCATTGCAGATGCACATGCTGAGCTGTCTTTACAAAGCAGTTAAGTAGTTTTACATTGTAAAAGTTTTAAGATGTGCATACAAATAAAATTTCTCTGACAGGTACATGGAAATTCTGCTAATCCTTTGTGCCAGAAACGTAGTTTTGGAATGTGCAGGGCTAGAATAAGCCTTTTTTAAGGTAATATAATGAAGTTAGGAAATCTAGGAATTTATAAAATATGTGGTTTATTCTTCTATGCCTTCACCCCATAGAAATTTAGGAAATTATGGGCTTCTTCTTAAATCCTTGTGTGTTCTTCTTTGTGTATTTTCAGGATTCCTCTTTGATTGGAACAGCCACAGTGGCTGGTCCCAGGACAAGTGCAATAATTGGAGATCAGGGAACACCACCGAAGGTCCAGCTCCCCCTCAATATGTAAGCAGCTCATCTCAGTCACTGTGTACTCTTTGTTTCCAATTGTGTGTGTGTGTGTTTGAAACCTGAATGTCCAAATCTCAGCTCAGGTGCATTCTGAGAAGACAGAGATTGCAATTTCAAATGTGAGGCAGCCTCTGCTGAAATGAAAAAATTAATAGAGAAGGGCAGGGCAAGATTTCCCCCTTTCTGTGTGAGCCCTTTTAGACTTTATTTATTGTAACTGTATGGATCACTGTGAAACAAACTGAGTACCCCTGAGCTAGAGAAAATCTTTCATTTAAAGCTCTTAAAAAGGTGCAGTCCCACGCAATCAGACACCTGATTTATTCACAATTAACCAGAAAAAATGGCCCAGTTGGACTTTTTTGGTGCCATCAACAATGAATGAACAAGGCAATGAATGAACTTCACATCTTTGGCATATGGTTTTGTTGAATAGTGCATAGAATAATAGAAGGTTCACAGAACAAAAAGAGTAGACTTCAATATAGCAAGTTTCTTCTAGCCTGGTTGGTTTATCTGATACTTGTCTAATTAACTACTGAATCCTCTCCTCTCAACACATATACCTCATAAAAGCAGGACAACTATACACACACAAACACATATGCATATCCATATTTTTGGGTTTTATGATATGGCTAAAACAAGGTCTGAATTCACAAAATCCTGAAAATAATAGATCTTTTTAAGAACAATAGGTGTGTTTAATCAGAACCAAACAAATCTCTTCTTAGCTACTTGAGATCTTTATACCTGAGAGATGCCACACATCACTGAATGCCCCATGGAGAGGTCTCATCATTGCCCTGTGCTCACCCTGTACAGCCTGTGTGGCACATAGTGGAGCATGTGTTTATTTCAAGATTTGCCCTGATTAGGAAGCGGTAACTGGCAATATTTGAAGTAGCTGGTTGCTGAATCAGGACATTTTCCAGCTCTCTGGCAATGCCCCTGACTCCATGCCTCAGCAAGCCTCCCCTTCTCCCTCCCATGCTTCTCCTGTCATCTCTCTTGTGAAGCAGCCTTGTAATCTGGTCTGTCATTCTGCATTTGTGAGCCAAGTTCCAGTCAAAGAAGATGCATTATTTGAAAGCTGTAGCAGTAGTGGGGAGGTGCAACTCTAGACAAAACCCTGGGGCTTCTGCATTGTAAGCAGAGTCACAGGCAGCTACCCAAGGCCAAGAACACTTCACACTTCAACCTTTTTTCAGGGAATTTCTAATAAACATTAGATCCCACTTCCAAGCCTTCGGCTCACTGTTTCACATAGCCCAGAATAATCTGATACTGCATTTTGCAAGATTTCAGATTGTTGTTTTAACACTTTCTTCTAGGCTGTACAGAGTTAGCTGGTGAAGTTTCACACCTAAAATCTAGAGAACAGTGAAATGTGTCCAAATCCAAAGACTTTGCCTTAAGGCAAAATCATCCTCAGCAAATGGGACCACTAGACCTGGTTTCCTGCCAGAGGAAAAACCCAGAAACAAATTCTGGGGAGGGAAGCTGCTGGCAATCAGTTTGTTTTCAGCCATGGATGAGAGCAGGCATCCCCCCCAGCTCTCCCACAGCCACCTCCCTGCCAGAAGTGGAGTTTATGCCTGCCCACAGACCCAGGCTGGGCCTGCCACTGGGTTTGGAGAACCCTGTGCCTCTGCAACTAAAGAGGAGACCCCCAGGGATAGGCATCCTCACTACCCCCCTGCACAGGAGGTGGGATTGCTGGTCCACAAAGAAAGTACTAATCACATATGTTGTGCAAGGGTTACCCTATATGCTTGTCACACACAAGCTTTCATCACTTTAGCCATACAGAGGTTGGTCTTTCTGTTGTGGCATCTGTGCTGGGCTGTTGTACACCTTCTTTTAGCCTCTGCAAGGATTTCAATACTCTATCCAGAGGATGTTTAGGCTCATTGTGATATTGGATATTCAGACTTACTGGTAGCTGACTTGGGGGAATTTACTGGGTGAAGCTAGTAGGAGAGAACAAAAAGAAACTAACAGGAGATCTGGAGATAGCTGCAAGGCACAACAGCCTATGATCCACTTAGGGTAATTTTCCTTGCACCTGCTTCCAGAATCTCCACCTGTAAGTTACATTATTACATGTAGCCCCTTGGGGGAAAAGGCTAAGTGAGTCTATCTAAAATGCTCTATCCCTGACCCCTTGCTTTACCCATAGCTTCTGAATCTGAACCCTGTGTAAGCAGCAATTTCAAGAGGGACAGTCAAAGCCACACTCTCTGCTCCCTTGAGTGAGTGCAGTCTGGCACTTTCTGTTATGTCCTTGCAGAGCACAGTGCTGAAGGATTAGCACTGAAGCATGCAACCTTATTTCTTGTCAGGGTGACGCATTTTAATGTCCTTCAGATCATATGCAGCCTCATGTTTTCCGTCAGGTGAACAGCTACAGACCTGCTCAAGACCACCTGATTATATAGGCTAAAAAAAGGATGTGCAGGGTGGTTTCTCCCATCTGTTGGCTAATGAAATGTAGTTTCTGATTAGGTCTTTGTACCCCATGCATGTGATGAACAGAGCAGGCACATCAGCCTAAGATTCCCCAAGCAGCTGTTACCAAATAGTTCATATTCTGCTCATTACTGCTGTTTATTTACTACTCTCAGAATAAAAATGAGGAAATCTATGGTACAATAAAGAAGTAGAATCAAGAAAAATAACAGGATTTATTCCTCAATTATATTTCCTGGAGAGCAGAAGTAAAAAGTCATGTATCATTTTTATTGGCTGAAAATCTACAATTACAACTGCTATAGTTTTGGTTTTTTCTCTGGTTCAATGCTATAAGGTGGAGAGCAAGCCTATTCTCACCCACCCCTGAGTCTAAGAACATTCTGCTGCACTTTGTAGTGTAAATGCACTTTCTCTGTTTTCCCATTTCTCGTAGTCTATGTTCACTGCCTGTAAATCACAAATAAATTTAAAAAAACTCAGGAAGGCACAACCTTGATCAAGAATTACCAGAAATCCCTTTTTGTATCTGGAGAAAAGCAGTAATAAAAAAAAAAAATCTGGTATTTACAAAGAAAGTGTTGTTCTGTGTGTGCACTCTTGCTATTCTATCCCGACTTTCCATTATTTCCCAAAGTGCAAGCAATCATTCTTAATTTTCAACAAGAATCTCTCTAAACAGAGAGAGTCTCTGTAGGGATTTTAAGCTGTAGTCATTTCACAGCACTAAACACATCCCTGAAGTAGTAACAGAAGAACAAAAGAGAAATAAATAGAAAGACTCTAAACAAAGCGAATAAATAAAATCTGTAATTAAATAAATAAAAGTTCTACATATTGGATCCTGTACTAAAGATTTATTAGTATACTTGGAAAACATCCAAAACCAAATTCTACCACTTCACTTACTTAAATAAAAAAAACCCTGCAGAATGTGGCCCATTCTCACTTTTTTTACCAACATGTACAAGAATTACCATACCAGATCAGAACAGTTTGGTGTGTTGTTTCTAAACTTGGCCAGCATAAATAGCATTGAGAAAACTGCAAGAAAAGCTTTTGAAATAGCCTACCTACTTATTTTCTTCTTAAATTCCAAAACAGAGGTGGATCCCACCTGAAGCAAATGAATGTATACTTCTTCCAGATGTCAGGATTTGCAAAGCCCTTTTACTCCAGCCCTTGTTACTCTGGCTGTCACTGTAACTTGTGTTTTTCTGAAACCCTTGCTACGTCCTTAACTTGGGTGCTGCTTTGTGGCATTGTTTTGCTTTTGTTATGCCCTGAGTGAGAAGCATGTCTCATCAACTTCTAAATTACCTTTTACTCTGAATAGTTATTCCCTTATTGTCTTAAAATCTAGTCTCTGCCCTTCCCTGTTTGTGAAGCAGCCTGTGATGGTGTCCCTTTTTAACTTCAACTTCTGAACAGCGCTCTCTGCTCTGTGGGGCTGGAGCTGGAGCAGGACAGGTGGTGGTTGATGTCACCTGTGTGCTCTCTCCCTGTGTGACCTCTCCCCACAGCTACCTAGCCCTGTATGCCTACAAGCCTCAGAAGAACGACGAGCTGGAGCTGCGCAAAGGGGAGATGTACCGCGTCATTGAGAAGTGCCAGGACGGCTGGTTCAAGGGCACGTCTCTGAGGAGCGGCATGTCCGGTGTCTTCCCAGGCAACTACGTGACACCCGTTTCAAGGTGAGGACCACTGGCCTCTACTGGGGCATTCTGGATGGCACTGAAAACAATGTAGCTCTGCTTTTAAATCACATTCCCCTTCCAGAAATTCTCTGCACTGTGGACTTCAGTAATGAGACTTGCTGGTCGTAGCATTTGAGTTATCCATGTCCTCAGGAGATTGCACCAGTTGTATTAGAGGATGGCATTTATAACCTCTGATAGGCCCAGGTTTTACTATTGTAAAGAATCTGCTGGCTAATGATTTTATTGTTATAAAACTACTGGACATGTAACAAAATAAAAAATGTTTGTGTCTTGCTTTTCAGTAGCTCCTCATGTAGATTTTGTTCTTCTTAAAGCAGAGATCTGGGGTAGTTTGGATCTGGACTAATGTTTGAACAGTTGAAATTCTAAAGTGGTAGGAGAGTTAAGTAAATTGTCTGATTTTACCTACCTCTGCCTCAGTTGCAGCAGATGAGAAAAGGAAAAAAGGAATTTTTGAGGAAAGAATGCCATTTGTCAGAGTTCAGTATTGGACAATACCAAATCAAATCTGAGAAGCTGAGAAGAAAGTCCACCTCTTTGTCCCAGACTGTTTGCCCTACATGTTCCTTGCAGGTGAATGCTGGCATATGTATGCCCATATCTCCTTTAGAGCAACTGTGGATTTGCAAACTGAACTCATTCCTTCTCATGTGCTCTCAGTCTCTCCTCCCACATGCACACTGTCTCCACCATCTCTGACTCCTCTCCAGAAAAGGGCACCTCACAACTCAGACACTGTTGATCTGGAAAAATTATCCAGCTTTGTCGCATCTAAAGTTTATGTCAAGTCTGCTGCATGTGTTCTGAGCAACACCAAAAGTTAAGAACAGATCAGAAGGCAATAACTAAGCCTGCTGACAGGCTAATATTGCATTTCAGTAAGGAAAGCCCAAATATTAATTCACTGGTTCTTCACTGCTCATCAACCTAAAGGTATTTACCTTATTTTATAGAGCCCCTTGCCTGCCTTCACTCCTTGCCTCTTCAGCTCTTAATTAGTGAGGAGGTTTGTGCTGAAGGGTCGGTTATCTGAATCAGCAAGACTTTATAATAAATGCAGCATGTCACAGCTAGAACAAGACAGAGAAGTGCTAAAGGGCAAAAGTGCTTTCCACAAAACCTGAAAGCAGCATTATATTTATGATCCTGTGGGCTAATTAAATTCCTGTATAAATCACCCTCAGTGAGAACAGCAATAAAAATCTGATATCAACAAAATCTCCTATTTCCACTACATTCAACATACATTGTTCCCCTTTGACAGAAAAGCAGAGGATTAGATTCATACATGTTTTTCTGCCACACCCTACAAAACCAAGGAAAAGAAGTAGTGAATTTAATAACACTGAACTAGATTTATATGCTGCCAAAACACGTGTGTGAGTGGAGCATTATGGAAAAAGAACAAAACTCTCTAGATGGGCAGACAGGCCCAGGGCAGCAGAGAATATCTGCCACATCCAACATGTACCCATCTCTGCTGGGAGTCACAGATAGTTTCTGTACTTGTTGGTGTGCATGTTTGCCTGAACACAGCTCTCAGTGGACTGTTAGATGTGCTTTTCTGGCAAACTGAATCTAGTGCAGATGGCCAAGCCAGCTCCAGCTGAACCTTCCTGCCACCCTGCCAGCTCTTCACAGCAGATGACAGACAGTCAAGATTTCCATCTGGTGGGATTCCCAGCTTTTCCCAACCGAGGGACTTCTAAAAAAATTGAAGAAAATAAAAAATCAGATTTATTTAGCAAAATGTAATCCAGGCAAACCTTGCACCATGAGAGGAGTCAAGTCAATGATGCCACAGTGATGTCTTTCCTCTTATGACTTTAGGAGGAGGGAGGATTGGGCAGAAGGCATAGCTATTTTTTGCCCTTTTGGACCATATCTTCCAGCCTGTGATTTAGTCTTTTTCCATCAGAATTTCACTCTTTTGGCTTTCCACTTTTTTCTTAGGGTTATTTCTTCTGTCACCCATGTCCTCTGAACCAGACCAGACTGTTCAACATACTCTTTTCTGCTCTTCTCCTCACTGTCTTCCCATGCAGTCTTGGGGACCCAGAGTTTCTCCCAGTTCTATACTCCATAGATGACTCTTAACACTTTTTCTGTTATTCTCTCCTCTCTTGCTAAACCCTTGCACTGCCTCATTTCCATTTCCTCCATTTTACTTTGTTCTGCTTCATATCCTCTGTGCTGTCCTTTCCTGGAAGAGGACCTTGGCTCAAGAAGCAGCCCAGGAGAAGAAAACAGCACAAAATGATCCATCTGTTTCATGGCATCTACAGCTGAGGAAGGAAATTATTCAGGAACTTGAGTAAGAAACACAGAGAAAGAGCTGCTCAGCAGCAGCTGAGTTTGTCCACTGATGTCTTTCTGTCTTCCTAAGTGTCCTTCTGTCCTAGTCAGAGTTTTTAGCTCAGTGGTAAGAGGATCCAGACATGCTTTAGTTGAACTCAATTCATAGGAAAAAAAGCCTTGTCCCTCCCCTCTGAAGGGACTTGGCCACTCAGGTGAAATTATGCATGCAGTTTAAAGTGAGGAGTGAGAGAGATGTCAACAACTCTTTGGACTTCTTTTTCATTCAGGTCAGCTGCATTCCTGTCCCTGTTGCATTCTCTTAGCAAGTCTAAGCTAGGGCTGGTTACATCAATAAGGTGAGTGTTCAGCCAAGCCAAGCCCAGTCAAGTCTGCAGCTTCTCAGTCCCCTTCCATAGCCACACACAGATTGTGCTATCCATCTTTGTTTCTCCCTGTAGGGCTGTATGCAGGTTTGGTCCAAAGAAAAGATCTCTGAGTCTGTTTTAATTATCAGTCCATGTGAAATAGCCTCTGGCACACAAAATGACATCTGGGAGATACCCATTTCCTCTGAATTAAGATTTTTGATTTTACTAGAAACTATTCAGACAGAAATATAGGGTAATAAATGACATGATGAGAAAAATTATCTTTTCTATTTTTACCCTGCACTTCTTCCTGTAGAATAAAGAGGTGAAAATATCCCCCAGCTTGCTTATAAATGTGTCCTATAAAGATAAGTATATATCAATGTGGGAACCCAGGACATCCCTCTGGCTGTCCAGGACGGCCAAGACCCCTGCCAGGGGGCTCAGAAGCCCTGGCACGGAGCCTAAAACACCTGTGGTTTTGATTATGACCCGTGGAGCAAATTACCTACCTTATACCAACCTTATATGAAGATATATATATATATATATATATATATATATATATATATATACACACCTTATATGAAGATATATATATATACCTTATACCAGCAGGTATAAGCAGCAAGCCACAACAGTTTAAGTAGAATAATAGTGAAGTTATCACCGGGTGGAAAAGTAGATTTTGGGGTTTCTAGAATGGAGGTTCAGGAGGCAAGATGGAGGGATCTGGGTGTGTCCAGCCTTTCTCCTTCTTCTTCTTGGCCTCCATCTTCTGCTGTGTTGTTGGCACTTACAGATTGGTCTAGAGTAGAAGCTCACTGTCTAACATAGGTGATAGGTATTGGAAAGTAATTGTAAACATTGTATACTTAGTTTTTAGTATAAAGACATAACACCACCCCGGGGGCAGGCAGTGTGCCTGGAGCTGTCCTGCTGGATGGACCTCGGCAGGGCAGGAGAAAATTTTTTATAGATAAGACACAATAAATAACCTTGAGACCGAGAACTGAAGAGCTCCAACTCATTCTTCAAACGCTCCAGGTGGGAAGAGACTTTTAACATTTCTCAGGGTCACGGCGACCACCAGAAGATCCCGAGATATCAATACCTCAGTTTACTTTAACAACTGATAGGATATTATGTTAAACCCCCTAAGTAACTGGGGGTACTTATCAGCACTGTGGTGGGGTATTGTGGTCTCTGCAGCATGCTTACACTGCACTTGTCCATCTCCATGCAGGGTGCCAGTGGGAGCTGGGCAGCCCAGGAACAGCGGAGCTGTAGGAGCTCCAACCACAAAAGTAGCCCCAGGAGCCATCCACCCCATTGTGGCTGGTCACAGCAACACCACCTCGGCTGCCAGGCCGGTTGTTCCCATCACCGCTCCCCCGACGCACGGGCAGCTGCAGGCGGCCTCCCCGCAGCTCAGCACCTGCCTGCGGTACTCGGCCCAGCCGGCGGGCAGCCAGCCCCGCAGCGCCATGCAGATGGGTAAGTGCTCACCTGCCTCCTGCCTGGCAGGACTGCTGGGGTACCCCTCCAGTGCAACCCCCCAGAATGTGCCCATCCCCACTGCTTTCCTCTTCGCTTTAGCCCAGGCAGGGGGGAGTTGGTGCATTGATGATAGACTATGTTTTCTTTGCTTGTAATATTTATGGGTTTCTATTGATCTCTAGGAACCACGTTGTGTTTATCAGATTGTTCTGTTGCTACAGCTGAAATAGACTGTAGTGTTTACAAATATTTATACAATTTATCTGAGTGAAAGCAAGCACTCTGTATACTAAGGAGAATAACAGTTCTGAGTCTGGTCGGCTTGCTGATAAAAAATACTGCCCTTATAGCAGTGCAAGTAATACATGCCTTGAAATTAAGAAGTATTTCATTGGGCTTCAGGGATGAAAGGTATTTATTAGGCAGAATGGGACCCTGTGTTAGTCGTAAAGCAAAAGATCTGAAAACTGCTGCCACCTTTTTGAAGAGAGAATAAGAGCTTCTTGCACCAGGGGGCCTCTGTTCTTTCTAGGCTCCCTTTCTGATGTACAGCACAATTTTCTAGAGTACAATTTATTCCCCTTTCCCTGATGTTAAACAGCTTCTGATGTTGAATAAAGTAAAAGAAAATCCTGTGGTGGAACTTTATACAGCAAAATTTAAAACATTTTGTTTCTGATATTTTATAGGCATGTGAGCCATTGTATTTACAAAGATCAGTAACAACTGTGACTGCTCAAAACTGAGGTCTTAGATACAAAACAGAGCAAACACAAATGAGAAATACCCTGCAGAGTAAGTCATGAATTCATACCTTTTGAAGCCATAAGGCACAATGATGACCATCTAATCTCACCTCCTACACAGTTCAGACCAAAGGGAAGAAAACGTAATCAAATACTTGAGAATCTCAGTCTCGTACAGTGAAGACTCCTCTGCACAACAAACAGTGCAGGGTTTTACATGGACACGTGTCACACTGGCAATAATCCATTTATCCTCTTTTTCTGTACTTCAGAAAGTGCTGCTTTCCTCTCAAGTCACACCCTTCCGAAAGGTCTCCTGGTCCCACAGCACCAAGGCAAAAATGTCCCCTTTTGGGTACAGTGCTCAGGAAGTGTTCAGGTGCTCCTGGTGCCTCCTGTGCCCATGTCAACAGGCAGGTGACTCCCTGAAACCAAGGTGACAGATTACTCTGCCCCACAGGCCTGGCATGCCCCACACCTTCTTTCCACACCCTCCAGCAGCTTCTCTAATTTAAGATTGATCCTCTAGGTCAATCTGACATCTCTAAAGTGCCAAAGCATTGGCAGGCAGGGTGATCCAGGGACCACAGAGCTGTTCCAAAACCTCACAACCAGTTTTCCAACCTTTCCAGAAGGTTCATGAGATTGTTGTTTTAATTAAATAACTCTTTGCCAGATAAATAAAGGAAGTTTTCACAATTATCAGTAATTATCTCCATAATGGCTGTCCTCACCAGCATGCTGTGGACCAGAGCCCGTGCAGGACAGGTCAATGCACTGACTTTTGGAAAAGCTTTTCAAGAGAGGCAAGCTGGCAAAATATTCAAATCACGTTTCTGTTGGCTTGCAATATACATGAGTAACAAATCAATTTTCTACAAGGCCACTAATGTAGGAACACACCCAAAACGAAATATGAGTGGTGTAGAACAAAAATAGCCTTCAGTGAGCATTGCTAATTAATAGCATGTTTGATGCAGCACAGTCCAGATCCAGAGATCCCAGAGCAAAGGCATACATTGTAACAGTAAGCAGATGAAACTACAGAATAAAATGTGAGAACTCTGCTCAGAGTTGATTTTTCACAGGCCATTTCTTTTACTGTTTCTCATGTTTTATGTTTCCTTTGTGTCTGGAAACACCAAGTCTTACATGAAAGAGGTGATGTACCAAATATGATTATCAAATCAGTGTTCTGCATCCAGGTACATGCAGAGAAATTCCATTAGTATGCTTTCTCTCTAAATTTAGGAAAGTCATTGCTCCCTACAAACAGTAGTTCAAAACCTAGATCCTACAAGTTTAACTATCCCAAAAAAATTAGATTTCTCATAGCAAAATTGCTCATCACTCAGGTTCCAAATGGGAAAATCAGGAGGGAATAATTTCCAGATAACTAGTGAGTACCTTGCCTGGCTTTCTGGAAGTGAATTGCACTTTCAGAGCATGTTCTTAGTAGTCCTGGGAGGGGATGATGATAACTAATAGTAAAAAGAGTCTTGAAGGCATTTGTAATAACAACTTCTAGGGCCTTCCTCATTCTACATAGTAAAGTGATATCAAGTTACAGACTAGCTAAAAATAGTGTAGCTGATTTGCCATAAACATTAGTAAAAAAAAGATGTTATAGAGGAGCTTCTGTAAGGGAGAATCATATAAACTTTGGAGGTGCTAATCTGATGAGGACTGGCCCATCATGTTTAGTATCACATCAGATAATAGGGCAGAAGGCTGGGAGTGAAATCTCCTCCTGGCAGGAGTGCTCAGCTGCTGTAGTGAGTATGGCTAATGGCACTCTATCAATCTAAGTCCTGCAATGGGTGCCACTTGATAACCATAGGAATAGAAGCTAGTGGTTTGAGTTGTTCTAGCATTGTTGTTTAGTTATAGATTCAGTGAACTCCAGCTGCATAAAAGTTTGTCATCCAGATGAATTTGTCAGAAAATGACAGATCAAAGTTAATCAGAAATTTTCCAGTAAAATGCAACTTGGTCAAAGAAAAGCTGATTTGCTGGACTCTAAGTTTTTTTGTCAGGAATGGATGTAATTCAACCAGACCAACCATGAAGCTGTACTGGTTTATGTAAAGGGAACTGATGGCTTTCCAGAGCTGTTCTCCACATAAGAGAACAGTGCAATGACTACATTCTATGTTTTCACATCCCAGGTGAATAACCTGACCAAAATAGAGTCTATTACGGGGTGAGTGAGCATGTTGTGCTCAGAAAAATGTTCAGAGTTCAAATTTTGCACTGAGACACAACTAAACAAGATTATGAAACCTTGAAATCATTTATGAAATGGGCACTTTCCAGCCAGTCTTATTATTGCATCATTTATGTGAGGGAATGTCTGAGTATGGACTCGGCTTTTAGGCTGCACATACTTGAAGTGGAGCTGTATTTAGGTAACACCTAAGCAATCAAACAAGCTGGAAGTCATAGACAACATCATTGTGGAAACAAACACAGAGCTTTGTCACATTTTTTGCATCCTGAAGCATGCAACACACTCTGGAATCCCTGGGGAGCTGACCTCATCAGTGTGTCACAGTCACTCTTAAATGGGCGAGCTCTAATTCCTGGTTCCCACTGCTTGCAGGCAGGATTTGCTTAGCAGGAGCAGCCAGACTAACAGGCACTGCATAGTCCCTTAGGGACTTTGCTGGCAGAGAGGAGGCTGAGCTCAGAAATCCTCCGGTGAATTTCTGCTTAATTTATCCTGTGCAGCACAGTGATGTGATGTTGATCATTTTGTTAGGGCTGAAACAAGACACCTCCTTTTGTAATTGCTGTCTGCAAGGTCAGCGTGGATCATCTGGGCTAACCCCTTAGGTCCTGTGCTGCATTGCTCCAGAACGGATCACCTTAGGAGGAGGGCCTGGGGGTGCAGGAAACAGCTCAGCTGGAATGAGATAATGTATTTTTAAAAGGCAGCAGGTTAGGTATTTGTTTCCAGGCACGGGCAGGGATAGAGAATATCATTCCCCAGTGGCATCACTGGGGGAAACAAGCAAATTTTGGTGACTTTGGGCAAGGCTTTGCAGCCAGGAGGGGAATTAGCCAAAAACATTTGCAGGATGAGATATCCTGGCCAGCTTATATCCCCATCGGGCCCTTGGGACCTTCACAGACAGAATCACAGAACATTCTGAGTAGGAAGGGACCCACAAGGATCATCGACACCAGCCCTTCAAGCGAATGGTCCCTAAGGGGACCGAACCCACGGTGCTGTTGACACCGTGCTCTGCCCAAGTGAGCCACGGCCACTGAAGGGCCTATGGAGGCCGTGCGAGGGCAATGTAACCGTGCTCTCTGCTCCTCCCGCAGCGCACCCGGCAGTGCCGGCCCCGGAGCGACCCACGGCCACGGTCTCGCCTCTGCGGACGCCCAGCTCTCCCTCCCGCCTGCCCGCCGCGGCCATTCGGCCTCACCCCGCCGTGTCCCCGCAGCACGGCCACCAGCCGCCCGCGCCGGGAGCCCGGCCCCTCATCCCGCTCACCTCCGCCGCCGCCGCCATCACCCCGCCCAACGTCAGCGCCGCGCACCTCAACGGGGACGTGGGCAGCGGAACCCTGGGCGGCCCCGCCGCGCCCGGGCCTGCCGGCAAAGCCGAGGAGAGGAAGAACGAGAAGGTAAGGGCCGCCGGGCCTCTGTGTGCCTCGTGCTGCTGCCGCGGCGCCCTCCCACAGGGCTGTTGAGGAGGCACCCTGCGAAAGCTGGGTTCCATCGCCACACAGCTTGGGCATCCTCATCTCACACTACTTGCACGCTTCATCTTTCCCCCCACCACCGTACTCACACTGCTCTCGTGTTACCTGCTCACGGATGGGAAACAAGGCTGGATGGGCTGAATTTGTGTGTTTCTGCCAATGATCAGCGCCGAAATCTGTAAATTTGCAGTGGTGCAGTGAGATGTAGCGGGCTCTAGGCTATCAGAGCCGTATGGCCAAGAATCCGTCTGCCTCCCTACATCAAAGAGGCCGATGGTGGTACCAGCCACACAGCAGGTGCCTCAGGCACAGCAAAACATTGGCTCCTGAGTGGTAGGAGATGTTTCACTCTTCCAGAAACATCTCAATTTCTTCAAGAAACTCTCATTGCAGTGGCACAGCCAAAGGAGAAGAGGGCAATGGGATACTGCTGGATGGGATGTAGGTACAGCGTACAGTAGGGTCCATCTCTTAGGGGCCAGCAGTGGGACTGATAGCTGGGTACGGGCTCCCTGGCACACCTTGCTAAGGAAAACCAGCTTTAAGGAGGAGAGCTGCTTTAAGCACCCAGCCTTTTAGGTTCTTGGCAAATATTTTGCTTTTCCCAAATGTTTACATTGTGTCAGCAGTTCCTATATATCAATGCTGAAGATTATCTCTGTACTGGCTAGCAGAGCAAGATCCTGGTTTGTATCTGAGTAGGAGGAAGAGATGTGGGGGCCTGCTTTTCCTTTGAACCTGAAAAAAATCCTTTCCATATGTTCCCTGAGCTTTTCCATGGTGACAGACACATATACAGTAAACAGTTTCTTTGTACATGGTAATACTGAGCTGGCAGGTCTCATGTGTCCTCCAGGCCACAGAGAACCCATAGTTGCACAAAATGAGGAATATGAGTTTTAAAATGCTTTCCTTAATCCTGTCTTGAATTTTCTCTGAATGCATTTTGTTGAAAGAAGAAGGGTGTAGAAATTCTGCCCTGGATGTGACATTCAGGTATGTGCTTACAAAGAACAGCTCTCAGGTATGAATCAAGGTCTGCATGCAGTGGAAACAGAACCACACCTGCTACTTGTGCAAGTCCAAGGAAGGGAACAGCATTTGGCAGGAGGTGGTAGAGCTGCACATTGCCTCAGAGCATTGTGTACTGGCTTATTTATTACTTCCTAAAACACATTAAGTGATAGGTCCATATATTTTAATTCATGTGATACTACACATGGAAAGTCTGTAGGCAAAATTATATCGAGCACAATCCTGAGATACTGGTTAATTTTTCCCAAGTGGTTGCAGCCTAAAGTTACTGAATTGGGATGCAGAGGAGTAAAGTTAAGAGGTTTTTGATCTCCATGCATGAAGAGGAGAAGGAAATAATACACAACATCATTGCAATGGGCGTTGCCAAAGACCAGTTCACTATCTGGGAAGTATCAGAGAGAAATAACCATAAAAATTATCATTTCTGACTCAGTTGGGCAATACATAACTGCCCTGGCTGAACAACATATTCCTGGATCTGATCCATGTTCACTTTCATTTTAGAAAGATCTGAATTAGCAATGTTTCCTTTCTTTTTAGAAATAGTGACTGATGTTTGGCCAGATAAGTTGACTTACTCTTTGCTAAGCCCAAATATTTCTTTGAAGAAATTGAGAGCTTGGATAATGCCAGAAGGAAAGCCATATAACTATTCAGAAAGGTATCTGTGAGTCAGAACTGGAACCATATCTGTAACAGAGCTTGATATTTTCAGAGTGAAGGCTGTTTGGGCAGGTTTTTTGGTAAATAGGAAAGTGTCATAACACTCAGAGGGAATATCAGTGGAGAAAGGCAGTATCTGTTATCAGTACACATAATAGGGAAAAATCAGAAAATATCGAGGAGGAAAAACAGGAGAGATGTAGCTAGCAAGCTTCCAGATAAGCAAAGATCAGAAGCAATTTTTTTGAGTTCAGTTTCATTATATTAATCAGTCAGGTATTTTGAGATTAAAGGAGCAGAGGGGAAGTTAGTAAGAGGAGAGGTAATAAGGTCTTCAGCTCTATTGAACACAGGATGGAAGAAATGCACAGGTAATTATCTCCTGAGAAACTGAGATTAGCAATTCATGTGTGATGTAAATTGTAATGTGTCATAAAATTAGCGTTGCTGTTAGAATCAACAATTTTTGGTGTCCTATGAAGTTGTTAGCTTTAATCCTGGCTTAGTCTTTCCAGTGTCTTTTGTAGGATACCACTGAGGAAAAAGGCTGAATGATCAGAGAATAACTGGTTTGGGAGACATTTTGTTGTTATTAACCATGGTTTTCTTTCATTGGAATTGTCAGTGTGAGTTCACTATGGTACAGAGGGCACATAGTTCATAAGAAAAAGTAGTTTGCATTCAGGGATGGACATGATAAGGATCCATTGTTTTTCTTGGTTCTTTTGAGGGCTGTGGAGATAAATTGCATTTTTTGCATTTATCACTCTAGTATGGTGAGATATATTGGTCCTTGGGGAATTTTCTTCAGATTATAACTTTAGTAATGTTGGTTGTCTGCTTGAAGACTGGGTTGGGAGATAGTGGGGAAAAATGTTTTAAGATACGATCTTCTAAAAATTTATGTTTTATGATTTCCCATGTTGATTCCACTCAGGGATACTAAATGTGACACCAAGGGGCCGCTTCTGCAGTGAGTCCGTGTATGCTCTTTGTGTTGCTTGTTCCAAGATGGAATGAACTTCAGCTCGGGAAGAGCCTTGCTGTGTGTATGGTGCAGTCATCCCTGTTAATGCTTTCCTCTGTGAAAATATTTATATGCCAATAAAATAAAAAATAAAAAATATCACAGGTTCCTGCTGGTCTACAACAGTCACATGTAGGCAAATCCCACAATTTCTCTAAAATCAAGGGACTCCAATTCCAACTCTTACTCATTTCCTTGTGGCTTAAAGGCAACTGTCAGAAATAATCCTAAGGATTATGGTTTTCAGATCAGCATGAATGATTTTCTTGCTCATTTTCTATTAATATAGCAAAAAAATCCCTAGGTCTATTTTTGACATCTCTAGTTCTCTGCTTCAGCTTATTTCTTGAAAATCTTGATCCAAATTTCCAAACTGCAGGTGAACCTTGGTACTTACATTCATTTAGGTACCCTAATAATATTGTCTTACTGTCATATTCCTGCTGACTTAAGCAGAGGTAAATTTCTGCCTCCATGCCAGTCTTCACTTGTTGGTATGCATCTAATCCTGGAGTGTCCCATCTGCAACTGGGCTTGGGCTCCACATCTCAGCTCCTTCACCAGCCTCCTGTCTCCTTAGGGAACAGTTTTGAGCATGGTCTCCTTTACCAGCTGCTGATAGTAGCTGATGAAAAACTGTGACATAGACAGTGCTGAAGTCCACTGTGCAACAGTACTTGGAAAGTACTCTGGGAGCCAAGCAGGCTGAGAAGTAGAGCACTTGAAAATCAAAGAAGTTTCAGTGCTGTTCAGGCACAGCAGGAAAGGCGGCTCCCGCAGGGCAGCCCAGACGCTGCAGGAATGACAAGTGGCCTGAGTAAAGGTGAGGGAGCACGGCAAAGTCTAAGAGGTAACAGTGGTCAGGGCAGCAAAGGAGAGAGAAGAGCAGTGGCAGCTGCTGGGAGATAGAGCAGGGAGCACCAGGGAAGCGGTGCAAGGTGAAGGGTGCTGTGCAAAGCCCAGAGGAAGGGGTTCTGAAACAAGGAAGTTGAAATACAGGGTGAAATGTGTCTAAAGAAGGCAGTGGAAGAGAGGAAAGTGTGAAGGAGATTCTTTATTCTTTTGCTCAAATACTTCCCACTTGAAGCATTTTTTTTTCTTTTTCCAAAAAGGAGGTTCCTTTCCCCAGAAGTAAAATGCTAATTTTTCCCCAGAGTCACTCTATGCCAGGTTAGGGATGGGAGCATCCCTAAGACATCACAGGGCCAGGCGAGAGGCAAAACAGAGCAAATGGACAACATCCATTTCCTTTAGGGGTGTGGAGTGATAGCAGGGTTCCTTTGAGTTCTTTGTCATTTGTTACTAATATCTGCATGTGTAGCCGTCTGAAAGTCAAAAAATTCAGTCCCACTTCCCAAATCTTCTGAACATCTGAAAGAAAGACATGGAGATCTCAGCTGTGGAATTGGAGCAAAACTGTATGGTTTGGGGGCTTTTTAAAATAGGGATCCTGCTTTTTTGGGCAGGAATACTACCCAGTTCAACTGGTAGATTACAGCTAACAGCTTGTAATTATGGTATGACTACTGCTTTGACCTTGCTCAATTTTTGCTATAATAGTTTCTGCTGTACATAATCTGGGTTGATGCTTAATACTACTGATAAAACCACTTGTTTGAATGAATTAATGCATTTCTCATTAAATGAGCTCCTCATTATGTTAATCAAATCAAGCAAATCATGCTGGGTGGTTTGACCACTGTAATTAAACTTTCTTTAAAATCCAGTCATTTGGCTTTTGATGAGGATTTTGATTAAACTCTTCCAAAATGTCTGGCCCAAGAGCTGACAGAGAGGAAAATAAGAGCTTGTGCTATCAAGCAAGTCATTAATTCGTCACTGTGTTACAGCAATTCCTTACTGTTTTACCTAGCCCAAGTATATTGAAATATTTGAAAATTGGCAATGTAAAATTAAACATTTCTTACAAGTATGCTGAGAGAACAAGTCTGTTTGCAGCTTTAAATTTAGGAACTGGGTCCCTGGAATATATAGTGGATCTAGATTAACAAGTTACAACAAATGGGAAAATACACTAGGCTGCTGTTTCCTGATGTTAAGATAAGAAGAGATACATCTTCAGAAAATTACTTTGAACACACACCAACAGTTTTGCATGTGAAGACTAAATCAGTACACATCTGTCTGTTTTCACCAGTGTCACTCACTTTCTCAAGTATCAGTCCTGCTCAAA